TTTGGTAACTGAATTTCTTTGCCAGCATGACAGGTAGATTCATGTCAACTGCATTGAAAAGCAGCCAGTACCCTCTCAACTTCAACCAAGTCTCAACGTTTCAACCTATTCTCAATGTTGATACAACGTTGTTGTGCCGAATGGGTTCTCTCATGTACTTTCCAGAGATTTCGACAACACTGCTCACCCTGAATGCCGCGAAGAGACTGGGAATAAGTGCGAGCTCATGCTTTACCCAGTTCAAACCTCGTTATGCTCCTTTCATATGTGCGCCTAAGTAACTGTGTTCACACTCGCTTGCATTGAGCACTTAAAGTTGTCCCTACAAGATGAAGGTCAGGGGGAAGAGAGAGAGCAGCAAGGAAGAGGAGACAGAGCACTCCGAAATGGTGGGATCTCCTGACGTTAGCCTTGCTTCAGGTGAGAGGAAAAAGTCTTAGGCTAAGCCTAACTCTGCGAAATTTTGCCATAAGGTCGTTCTTCAAAGTGGTATGGGTAAAAAAAAAAAAGAAAAAAATACACTTGACACCATAACATCATTTATTAACAAAGAAAACTTAGAATTAGCCTGTCTTCAAACCATGAAATTGATAGGGACTCCTTAGCCCCAGCTATGACAGTAAAGGAAACAATTATGTACCTTGTGAAGTAGTCTAGGGTTTTTCTAAATTTGTTGGCATTTCACTCCAAACTAAAATTTGAAATCTCCACTCCCTGAAGCCATGAATGAGTGAGAATATTAATTACAAGAAAGGAATAAGAGGTCATTTTTTTATCATCTGAAATGGATGGCAGCTTGGGTTCTCCCATGCTAGTGATAACCTCAGATGAGCTTAGTTGTGAAGACAGGTTGCCAAATTTTCAAGTTTGAGAGATATTCCAAGTTGAACATGAAAAGAAATATGCATTTTTCATTTTCAAATAGCTCTTGGAAAATGTTGCATCTATGACTTCTCGGGCACATTCAACACTGGCACAGAATAGCCTTGTTTACTTCTCTTAGTATTGTCTTCAAGGAGGAAATACCACATCTGAACAATTTTTTCATAAACAGATTCAACAGCAAATGAAAGTATTTGCACTACTGTGCGAAATGCAAATGAAAGTATGTGCACTACTGATTGAATTTGGAATTTTTAGTCAGTTCCTACAACAGAATATTGTTTTTTTTTTGTGTTAGATTCATTTTTCATTTGTAATGTTGTTAAATGTATCTTATTTATAGGGATGTAAACTTATGGGTAATGAAGGGGGCATTGCTTACAAGTATATTACCTGTGATTTCTTGTAACTTATTATCATGATGAAATATGGAATGGGATGGATATATGCAAGTTGAATGCCACAAGTGGCTGAACATTTAGTAGACTAAAGGGAGTCCTTGTCAGACATTTGATAGCATTCCCATGCTTCCTGTCATGATGTATCCTGTTTTCACTGGCCTGGAGAAGGTGGTGGCAGCTTCAATGCCACTCTGGCCCAAGGTCCTTCATCACTGCACATCAGGCTGCCAGGGCCAATATGGCAGGTGCAGTTGAGGAGCATCATACCTTTCACACAATGAAGCATAGAATGACCTATACTTGAAGTTAAATGAATTAGAGACAGAGATTTAAATTATGTGAAACTGCATAAACAAGCTTGCTTTAAGTAATTCTGACTTCAAGGTCAGGATCAGTGCTTTTGATGGGTCACTGATCCTGACTATTGACTATAGTAGTGACCTGTTTTATTACTATATCTTTGTCCTGAGGACAAATTTCATGTTTAAAACTATTCACTGCCTCCTGTCAATCTTACTCTCACAAAGGCATGTGCCGGTAAAGTAATGACTTATATTCAGTGTCAGATGTTTTCATGTAAGTATATCTCAGGCTTTGTATTGGAGACCTTGAATTAATTGTTTCTTGAAGTAGACTTCATCACCATGCAACAAGGTTTGGTATGGATGGCTATGTCTTTAAAGTATTTAGGCTTGGGGATCAAAGTTAGGACTCATATTCATGAGTCCTAACTTTGATCCCCAAGCCTAGCCAGAACTTTGTTTCTGAAGTAATTAGTCTATGGATCTTTATGGATTTGTTACATTTTGTTGCTTGGTTTTGATGCTTTTCTCTGTGCTGGTATTAGGACGATCAAGAAGACAGGTGACAAGTAGCAAGAGCAGCCGCATAGCTGCTTTCCAGAAACTCAAATTGAAGAAGGAGAAGGGAGAGATGAACAAATATGAGTTGAGTGATGTTGACAATGTTTATGAGGAAGTGGATGAGAGAGAATATGCCAGGAGAGTCAAGGACCGGACTGCTGATCATTGGCTTGTTGGAAATGGTCAAGTTTTCATAGCTCATTTTAGGCTTTCATGTTATTTGTTAACTTCAGAATTCATGTATGAATTTTTTCATAATTTAACCATGTGTTGGAATCCTCATTATAGATGGAATGTATGTGGAGGATGGGAGGGAGATATTTGATGAAGAAGAAGAAGAGTATGAAGAGGTGTACAATGATGGAGACGAGAAAAAAGATTCTAAAAAGAGGAAAAAAAAAGAGAAAGTTCCCCCTCATGTTGCAGCCTCAGCATCTCATGATGTCAGAGACATGCTCATGAAAATGCCATCAAAAAAAAAGCAGGTCAGGTTTGGTAAATTGCTTCAATTTGCCAAAATTGGCAATTGTGGCTTCTATCTCTTTTAACTAAGTTTCAATAGCCTGTAGGCTCCAGGATATTTTTCTTAGAGTTGGTCTTGTTATTCTAGGGGGAGTGTACCATAGCTGGAAGGTCAGGAGATGATGAGTCCTTGATTGCAGATATCATGAAAGACATCCACAGCTTTTCTTCTTTGAAAGGGAGAGAGAAGTCTAGAGGAAGGCAGCCTCATGGTCAAGCAGATGTGAGCTTCCCTATTTCTTTTCTAAGATCATTCTTCATTCCTTTATCATTATGTGAGAATGATTTTCTAAAATAGAAGAAAGTGAAACTGGAAGAAACTCCACAGAATATTCCACAACTAGATATGAAATTTACAAAGGTGAGGGATGACCTAGCTTCTGTCTGCTCCTGATCATAAGCCATTGAAAATTTTGAGGATTGTGTATATTGTGTTTGTTTGTCTAGAGTCAGCTCAGGACTCAAGAAAATAACTGTCATTCAACCCTTCCCATCACCACTGAATCTAACATCTCAGAAGAACCTAAGACAAGCATGGAAGTATGTCATGTGTCTCCTGAGATGTCAGAGGACTTTTTTGATGAAGTAAGTTTTTCATTTCAAGATTATTTTTTAAAATGCTGTGGGATGAATGTTTTAACATCATTACCTTCATATTTTACCAGGGGATTGGTTGTATCGCAACAGTATTTAGTAGTAAGTAAAATCAATTCTTTTGGAAGTTGTGAGAAACTGGTGAATCTGAAATTTCAGCAGTCAAAGTAAAATTGCCTCTGGGGTATGCCCCCTTAAAATTTCAGATGAGGGGCAAAGTGATAAAAACCAACTGGTTAATAGCTAATAATTTAATTCATCTCAATAGGAAAAGAAACTGAATATTTTGTAAGCATGTATGAGCAAAATCCAAAAACAGATGGAACATGAACTGATAGCCTGTTTCTAAACTAAAGATTTATCCTCTGCTATTTTCTTGTTCTAATAGCTTCTTGACATAGTTTCTCCATGAATCTTTGCAGGATCCTTTCCAGACAAAGAGTGTGGAGCCTATAGTTTCAACTGTTCATGCTACAGAGGATCAATCTTTCTCTAAGTGTGTTTTATTCTCTCACTTCAGTTCGTTTCATGAGAGATCTACTGATGTGTTATATCTTACTCTTCCTAAGAATGAAGGAGCTTGTTCCAGAACACCTTGAATTGGAATTCTTGAAAGATAGCATCTTGCCTGTTGAGGGTTTGGAGAAGCCAGTTGCAATTAACCAGGGAACCTTGCCTTTCCTCATGAATGATGATGGAAAGAAAGTGTTGCATTTCTTTTGGCTTGATGCAACTGAGGAGCCCTTCACACAACCAGGAGTTGTATACCTCTTCGGGAAGGTTCAAGTTGAGGGGGAAAATGTCAGTGCATGCATTGCTGTTCATCAGATTCCACGACGCATCTATCTCCTCCCCAGAATCCAGGTTTTGTTTGACAAATATATGTAAGTTCTCATCATGTTGTAGAGGAGGTTTCATCTTCCCGTTGTCTTTGTTATCTATTTAGGATGGCAAAGAAGACCCAGTTCCAATGGAAGATGTTTACAAGGAATTTAGTGAAGTCATTGCTCCCAAGTACAGAATCCAGGAGTTCAGGTCAAAAATCTCGTGGAAGCATTATGCCTTTGAACATCTTGATGTTCCTCGTCAGTCTCAATACCTTGAAATTGAATACTCTGTGAGTACCCCAGTCCTTACTTAGAACCATTGAGGTAAGATTTTTTTCAATTTTTTTTGTTCAATCAGGCCAACAATGCAGCCCTTCCAACGGACCTGAGTGGGAAGTCCTTCAGTCATATATTTGGAGCTGATAGTACAGCCTTGGAGACCCTTCTTCTTCACCTCAAGTTGAAAGGGCCCAGTTGGCTATATGTTGAAAATGTTCAACCTGTTCAACAAGCCATCTCTTGGTGCAAAGTAGAAGTGAGTGTCTCTTAAATATTCTTCAAGACTTCATCATAGGTGACTGAGATATGCTTGTCACTAGGGTTGGATGAATGGATGGAAAGGGATAGAAGTAATGAAGGAGCAGAAGCCACCACCCCTCATTGCAGCTGTCAGCCTGGATCTGAGAGCTGCTGCAAACCCCAGAACAAAACAGCATGAAATTGTCTCAGCTGCTGTAATGAGTTTTCCAAAATTCCCACTTGACACTCGGCCTACGCACCTCCCACCAGCTGCTCATTTTGTTGGTCAGTTCTTGGTTACTGGAAGCATGGATTTTTAGTTGCATATGTTCTCAATATTTTAAATGGTGGATTCCTGCAGTGGTGACCCATCCAGGTGAGACACCATGGCCATGGGATGCCAAGAAGGTCTTAGGAGGAATCACTTCCACTCAAGTAGTTATGAAGGGGTCAGAAAGAGAGCTTCTAGCATATCTCCTGGTCAAGGTGAGTCTTGACACAATCTTGTGTTTATATTAGAGATGCTACAATATTGAATTCTGTTCAATATCTGATATACCAACATTCTGAAGTTGAAGAAAAAAAACCTTATTTGTAACCTGGTCCTATATACTGGGTGTCTGCAAATTATCTATACATTTTCCAAGTCATGTTACATAAAAATGAATAATCATAGAAAGGTAAACAAAAACCAAAATATGCAGAAATACTTCAAGTTTTATGCATTATGGATACCAAGTTCACATTCGTTCTGCTGGTGACAAGTCATCTAAACAAAAATGGTGGATTTTACTGGAGCTGAGAAGGCATCTTGGGTTTTTTTGGTTTGAAGAAACACACTCAGTTGTGTTTCTGTCTGAAACATTGTTTTAGTATGAAGTATGGGATGGAGACCCTGTAAAGACCAAAGATTTAACCTTAGCACTAACAGGTAGCTGAAACTGGGTGTCTTTGTTGCTGGAAAGGTGGTGCAAGACTGAGGATTGGCAAGGACACTGTTGAGAGGGTACTGGCTGCTTTTCAATGCAGTTGACATGAATCTACCTGTCATGCTGGCAAAGAAATTCAGTTACCAAACACAACCGTCTGGAAAATTTAGTGGAAGATGCTTATGTTAAGGCCATACGAGTTTTAGTTGCTGGAAGTCATAGCAGAAGGTGACAAAGGGAAGCAATTTGATTTCCTTGTTTGTTGTCCCTGTTTCAATGAACTGCTTATGCCAAGCATAAATGGATGGTCTTGCTCCTTTGGCTCCTTCCTGTACTTTTTATGAAAGTGACATTTCACTTGTGAGAAATTTTTTGTATCTTCAAACCAAAAAACACACAGTATCTTCTCAACTTCTGTAAAACCTGCCATTTTTGTTTACATGACTCCTGCATGCCACCAGCAGAAGGAATGTGAACTTGGTATCCATGTGGCACAAAAACTTAGTGTTTCTGCATATTTTGGTTTTTGTTTCACCTTTCTATGATTATTCATTTTGAAGTAATTTGACTTGCAGATTGTAAAATATTTGTGGACACTATATATTTCCACACATTTGAGCCCTCAGAATTGATTCCAAAGAAGACATTCATAATCAAAATTTGTAGCATGAGAACCTTGTTTATTGCAAATATTTAGATTCCAAAAAAACAAGAGAGAAAACAAGTACACTGAGTTTTATTAGGGATAATGAAAAACTAGTTCTTTTGAATGAAGGACTAGTTCCTAAAAGGTTCATGACACTCACAGAAAATAAAATCACAACTCTAAAATAGGAGCACTATATTGTCAAAAGTATTCAAACAAGCCTTTTGCTGATACAAGGGGTATCTGAAAAGTTTCCACAAACATCTAATAAAGCTAAACCATTGTTCTTATTGCTACCAATATTGGTAAACTTAAACATCACACCAACCTTAGCCCTTGTCCCTTTCAGACCTGAATTAACACCACTATCGGAATAATATACTTTTTTGCATTTTTTAGCTCTTTTGCTACTTTAAATTTCTATGTCCTATATATTGTTTTTATATTTTATATAAATTTACCTAATCATGCTATCCTAATCCATTACAATTTATATCTTTAAAAACTTCTTCCCCCAAAATGCATACCCCCAGGGCATGTACCTTCTTGGTACACATGTACCTTTTGGGATGCAGAGTTCAGAAAAAATCAGACTTTAGAGGTACATGCCCTGGGGGTATGCATTTTGGGGGAAGAAGTTTTTAAAGATATAAATTGTAATGGATTAGGATGGCATCGAGAGGCTTCACTGGATGTCCTGGGTTCGCTGGTGTAGTGGTAGCACACCTGACTGGCAATCAGGAGGCTTGGGTTCAATTCCTGGCTGTTCCTTGGCTCTCTTTTGGCCTCATGCCTTCCAAGTTGTGTTACTCATTCCCCCTCTGTGACAATATTTTTGCTTTAGTAAAACGGAGAGACATGGTTAGCTGAAACCTGGCATGGACATGCCTACTGAGATGATGAGTTCAGGAAAAATATAAAATGTTAGATCCATGCCCTGTGGGGGCATATTTTTAGGGGCCAACGTTTTTCAAGTAATTTTTTTTTTGCCCTGGCATATTGAGCTGGTGTGGAAAGATGAAACTTGCTGGATCAGAAAATCAAGAAAATACGCCTTTTGCAATATATGTGCCTTGAGGCGTTTTAACTGAGAAGTACCTTTTTTTTTCTTTTTTTTTTACGGAAATCAATCCTTAGAGAACTACATGCCCTAAGGGAGATGTTTTCAAATAATTTTTTTTTTTTTTTTTTTAAACTGATGAACATGGAAAGCTGAAACTTTGCATGAATGTGACTACTGAGACAAGGAGTTAAAGAAAAATGTGGGAGTATGGAAATGGAAAGGTGAAACTTGGCATACGTATAAGTGACATGGTATTATTGAGTTGAGGGAGTATTCAGCTTTCATGGTGCATCCACTCTGGGCATAGCTTTTGGGTGCATTGGCTTTTCCAAACATGTTTTTTCACCAGCGAAAAGGGCAAACGTATAAGATTGAAACTTTGTGGGCATGTAGTTCTCTAAGGATTGATTTCCGTAAAAAAAAAAGAAAAAAAAAGGTACTTCTCAGTTAAAACGCCTCAAGGCACATATATTGCAAAAGGCGTATTTTCTTGATTTTCTGATCCAGCAAAACAGAGGGTGCTAGAAAGTTTAAACCTGGCAAAGAAGAACCTGATGTATCTCTGAGTAAATAAAAAAATTCTACTTTTATTATATATAAACGATCGTGAGTATCTGACTGACATAAGTCGCATGCTGAGTTGAGGATTTTGGTGATACATGCCATAGGGCACACCTTTCCGGGGAACATATTTTCAAATAGTTCTCTTTGTTTCAATCAAACGGAGACACGTGGAAAACTGAAACTTGGTGAGAACGTGACTGCTGAAGCACTGAGCTCAGGAAATATGTCAAATTTCCAAAATATTGGAATTTTTGGGGGAATATTTCTTGGGGATGTTACGTTTTCAAAGAATTTTTCATATCCTAGCGAATCGGGCAGAAATAGAAAAGTAGCAACTGGCACACGCATAATGGACGTGATGTTGATTTAATGAAAAATTCAACTTTTGTTGTGCGTCTCCTCAGAGCACAGCTTTTGGGTGGGTCGCTTTTCCAAATACATTTTTTACTGCCTTAAAAAGGGGAAACGTATAAGGCTGAAACTGGGTGGCATGGAATTCCCTGAGTCTACATTTCAGAAGAAGAAAAAAAGTTCTTTAAAACTAATCAGGGCACTTTTTTTAAAGTCCCATTTTCCTGAAATTTTTTTTGATCCAACAAAACAGAGACAGAAAATTTAAACTTCCCTCAGAAGTACCTATTTGATGGCTGAGTACAAGAAAAATCCTACTTTTGAAATATGTCCCCTTAGTGTAGATTATAGGAGGGAAGTATTTCAACATGTATTCTCCACCGTTACAAAAAGGGACAAATGAAAAGATTTCAAGTTAGGCACACTAGAAATAATATAAGTAATGATTTTGATAAAAATGAAGACTTTCGTCCCCATATGTCACATATTTCAATGGGGACGCACGTTAAATACGTGTTTGCCATTTCGCAAAGAATAAATGAATTAATCACTATCCGAGGTAATGGAGTGCCGAAGGCGCAATCATAGGGAGTTTGTTTGCCCTAAGGGCAAACGAACTCGCTAGTATTATATAAAATGCATGTAATTAAATAACTGAAGATTACTAAACTTATGCTTGAAAGAAGGCCTTTTGATGGAATTGAGCCATGCATAATTGTGCCCATTGTAATGTAATATGGGGCACAAAGTCACAAGAATCCCAAGAACTTTCCATAGATATAATGAAAATGAAATGTCCTTTGGAATGGATGCCAGGTCTGAAAGGGTTAAACAAATCACTGTTTGAATCAATGCACTTCTCCCTCTGGAGGGTAACGATTGTACACCCCTTCTGTAGAACTCTGTATCTTCTTTTAGCTGACATTCAAAACAATGAAAGTTATCACGAAATTTCAGTGGACTGAATGCCAGCTAGCCATCTTCTTGCTTCCTTTGACAATCATCAGTTTGGTCAGTTAAAGGAGAAACTTTGTGTAATATGCTTCCTCAATGAAGACCATGGTTACATTACCAAGAAACAGGTTTCTACAGTAGGGGTATGCAATCGTTACCCTCCAGATGTTAGAAGTGCATTGATTCAAACAGTGATTTTTTTTTTAGGGCTTAGGGAGGTTTGATGTTTCTGTGTACTGATTTTGGTAATGGTGTAAACAATGGTTAAGTTTTTGTTAGATGTTTCTGGAAACTTTTCAGACACCCCTTGTATCAGTGGAAGGAGGTTTGTCCCAATACTTTTGGCAATATACTGTAAATCAGATTCATCCAATTTTGGCCAATACAACAGTTAAAATGTCATTGCATCTCAAATTGTCATGGAGTCCCATGCCGCTGGATGCATTGATGACCTTGTGGTGGCCATTAATAATTATGAGCATTTAGTATGGTCTTGCTGCATTCTATTTGCTCCATGGATCATGTGCCTTGTCTTATCCTACACTTTATTCTGCCATAAGCAGAGACAGATATAGAGGTCCTAGAATCCAGCTGCATCCAAACAAATCAAAGTGAATGTTAAAAAATTGAGAAGTGACATTGTAATGATAAGGATGTCAGTGAGAGGCACAAATGAATGTCCTGGGTTCGGTGGTGTAATGGAAGTACACCTGACCAGCAATCAGGAGGCTTGGGTTCAATTCCTGGCCATTACCATGACAACATTCTTGGTTGTATACCCAGGAATATTACAGCATTTGGCTGACTTTAGAAAAATTAAAATCACTTCTTTTGTCATGAATATAAGTAGCAAAGCAATTTCTAGTTCCATCAATCAAAAAGTTCAGGGACTGAATTTTTTATGACATTGTTGTGACTCTTTCTGAGTATATCCTTCAAAGTAGTCCTCTATAGCATCTGTACAAATTTTCTAGCATTTCTTCAGTTGCTGGAATGATTGCTGACATGCATCTTTTGGAATCACCAGCAGTACTCGTGGCGTGTTTGTAAAGCTGCTTTAAATGTCCTGAAATTTCAGTCATTTTCCAATTTCAGTGGTTTGTGATCTATCTCACTATCCCCGTGCTTCATAAGCCACCCAACTTGCTTGACCTAGCTCCTAGGATTTTCTCTTTTTTTTCCCCCTAAGCTAAAAAGTGTGCTGAAATGAATATTTCAGGCATTCAAAGCAAAATTGTAATCGCAATGTGAGCACTGATGATGATTCCAAATGTTAAGCATCAGCAATGTTTCCAGCAGCTGAGGAAATATCAGAAAATTTTTATTATGCCGAAGAAGACAACTTTGAAAGATATAACCATCAGTAATTGGAAAGAGTAACCACAGTGTCATTAAAAAAAATTCAGTCCTTTTTGATCACCCTTTGTATGTTCTGGATTTTTTTAGGTAAATTATCTACTGTTCTGGTTCTGACCAGTATATAACAATAGAATGACGTGAGAATTTGTTGATGAATTCTCTTCATCTTGAATTCAGGTGGAGTTCAAGTCTTCAACAAGAACTTACCTTAAAACATTCCTTAGCTAGATGCACTTAGGTACCAGTAAAATGTCTATATTCAAGGTTTGGGCAAGGGTGTTGAGGCATTTTTGTCCATAATTATAATTACTGCATTGTTGCTGCTGTTTGTGCTTTCACTTTTCATATTATTTCATATCTCCAGAATTTACTAATAAATCTGGTGTAGTTTCTGGTAATTATTAATGGTTGATTCTAAGCTTCAGTTGCTGATGCTGTTTGACATTGTAATAATTTGCGGTTTGCAGCTACAACAGTCAGATCCTGACCTAATAGTTGGATTTGACATCTTGGGCTATGACTTGGACATCTTCATCCAACGTCTCAGTGCATGCAAAATCCCTAACTGGTCCCGCATTGGACGCCTGAGGCGCAGCCACATGCCCAAGGTATTTCTCTTGCTACCCTCAGCTCCTTCACTCTACATAGCTTCAATTTGATTATATTGCATGAAGTAAATTTTATTGTGGCTCAGACTAGGTCAGCTGGATACTTGAGCAAAGCCTGTGCAGGTCGGTTGTTGTGTGATGTACGGAGATGTGCACGGGAACTGATACGAAGTCGTAGTTATGACCTCCCATCACTCTGTCGGCATATTCTCAAGGCTGCTGATTCTACCATCCCTGTGGAGATGAGTCCCATGGATGTTCGTATGGCTTTTGAGTGAGTTCAACTGCTTCTGATAAAAATCCTCCCAAAATTTGAGCAAGGAAATTTGATTAATAAGTTTTTACAACTTGAGGTTGGGGAGCTTGGGATTAAAGAGTTTAATCCATGGAACAATGCTGGAGGTGTATCAGTGCTTCCGCTTGGCTCAAGAGATGGACATTTTACCTCTTGCTCATCAGATCACTTCAATTTCAGGTATTTGCAATCCTGTTTAGCAAAATGCTTTTTTTTTCATCTAATTCAAGGTGATTTATATGTATTGATTGCAAAGGTTTTTAGAGGTAAAAAAATAGCCTTTACAAAATGGGACTGGAGTTAACCTTTGATATGAAACCATTTTTGGTCATTGTGGATTTTTGTGCCATAGCAAATGAACTGCTGTATGCTAGTGATTACATCAAAATCTCCAAGTAACAGATTGGCTAAATGGATGTGAAGCTTGTGTTGCTATCCTGATTCCCCTCCAATACTCTACACTTGTCTTATGCACTATCCCTTCCATTGCTATTAGTCACCTCTCATGGTGGCAACACATGTTTAGCTATGTTTAGTACTGGATGAGGGTTGTGGCATGCTTGCTACATGATACAAAATCAAGGACTTATTTGGAAATATCCATGTTGATGGTGTAGGTGGATGGCAGATGCAAAGGAGGTGCTCTAATGGGGAATCACCTATTATAAGCTAATAGGGGGATTTGATTCCTTGAAAGAGTTAACAATGAGTGAGGTTGGTGGGTATACTGAGGGTTGACTACTTACAGATACAAAAGTGCACAACCATGAGCTTTCTCATCAGCTCATAGTTTGCTGTAAACATCTTGATAGTGGTGACTTGCAGATGAACTGATAGTAGATATTTAAGCACTTCTGAATGTAGAAAAAAATGATTGGGGTTCTTGTGCCTCATGTTCAACAAGTAGGACTCAAGCTCACAGAACCAGATTCCAGAGAAAAATATCTGCTTCAATTGAAGTAAGATCTTAGCAACAATTAACACCAATTAGGGCAAAGATGAAGGTCATACCTCATGTTGACCACTATTTTTGTTTAGTGAATAAATCTGACCTGAAATTAATCATCATTATCTTCAGGTTATGGCATGTTGAATACAAACATGTTGCCAGCTGCCTTCACCTGAACCTGACCTACTGTGGCTTGCATTGTTTTGCACTTATAATTTGTTCAGAATTTGGCTGTTTTTCTTTACCATTGATATCACCACACTAGTAGATGTTGTGTGACCCACCTTGCTTGCCAATTACACTTCAGACAGCTCTGGCATTTGTCTTCTCTACAGAATAGGAAGGCTGAGTGCATATCTAAAGATGCTGCTACTGAAATTGGTAAAGAACTGAAGATTTGCACCTTGGGAGTATAACAAATTTTTATTTTTATTGAACTGTCCATTTGGCACAGTTTAGTTTGACAATTTAAATCAATTTAATTACTGGTTTCTGAGCTTTGGCTTTTATAATACAAGTCCTTTGTTCCATTTATTTGTTGATAAGAGTTTTTCTGCTGCTATAATGTGTTAGAGATTCTGAGACATGTCTGGTGTCAATTGAGGTGACAGACAGGAGTTTTATATTATTCATTCATATTCCACAGATGAAAAACTCAATTGATGACTTCTGAAGAGTGGAAATGTTATAGTGTAGCATTAGATCAACAAATTAAATTCAGTTATGTGTATTTAGAATTTCATGCTTGTAAGAAGCATTGGCTTTTGGCCTCTTCTATCCCTTGAGTTTAATCTATCATCTGTAAGGAGTCTATTAAGGTATGAGCTAGTACTAATCTAGCACCATGATCAATATAAGGGAACACATTGAGTCGGACACTACTGGGAGGCCGGTCAGAGCGGAACGAGTTCCTTCTCCTTCATGCTTTCATGGACAAGGACTTCCTCTTACCAGGAAAAGTCACAGCATTCCAGAGACGCAAAGTTAGTCACATATCCTCTATTATATTATCTCTACTACACCCTGTGAGCAAAGCATAAATGCATTCATGTTTAGCTGTAGTGTATTTTTATTTATTTATTAGTCTTCACAGGTTTCCAAAGTCATGTAGTACTAATAGGCAAGGTTGAATCTCACTTTTAAGAAGTCACTAGTGTAAATTTGAAGCCATACATTTTTCAGGAAGGAGGAGAAGAGGAAGTGGGAGATGAGGAAATAGGAGCCAAACGCAGGGGTAAAAAAGGAGCATATACAGGTGGATTGGTCCTGGACCCCAAAAAGGGTTTCTATGAAAGGTATTCCCCACTCCTGGTACCACTGCATCCTTGTATGAAGAAAGCTACCTTTCAAACATCCATTTGTGTCTTTCCTTAGATATGTGTTGTTGATGGACTTCAACTCCTTGTATCCTTCTATCATCCAGGAGTACAATGTGTGCTTTACAACACTGCCTAGGAAGTATGCTTCTCGAAAGGCTTTGGATCTTGTGAGTACTATTTATGTCACCAAACTTTCATTACACATGCACCAATATTTTCTTTTCTGATTTTCAGTTTTGTCTTGATTCATGTTATCTGTCCAAGTTGTGTATTTTATTTTGTAGGAGTCGGGAGAGGAACTGGCAGCTCTGAGTCCTGAAGGACGTGAGGAGGAGGATGGAGTTCTTCCCCAGGAGATCCGTAAACTTGTTGAGTCTCGCAAGGCCATCAAAGCATTGTTGAAGAATCCAAATCTCCCTCCTGAAAAGAGGCTTCAGGTACTCCAACTTTGCTTCATGACTACCATTCAAAGTAGCAGGATTCTTGAGTTCTTGTTCAGCAACATGCAATTTTAGTATCTGGAGTCTTGTATCAAATTTTTATTGCTTTATTCTTCAACAGCCTGAAAACAACCAATAGCGAAGGTTTTCACTGCAAAGCAAAAATATGCTAATTGCAAACATTTTTAGTTGATTGATTCTGAACTGTTCTGTTTATATGCAATGGGAAACAAATGGCAGGAATCATATGGAAATAACATCTATATATGGAGATCTTTTCCAGACTAGACTGTCTGGAACTCATAAGCCTTTGGTGATCCATTGTCAACCCACTGAGTTGATAATGCATCACCAAAGTCCTCTTATTCTAAAAGTTAGGTCCAAGTGACCTAGAGTGATGCTGGAAATTGAACATAATGACCCAATGAGATGTTGTGATACAGTGATTCATGGTGACTGGATGACTTACTTTGAAATAATTATTCCAGAGTGACTAGTAAGGACTGATTACACACCAGGAGATAGATAATATTTCTGGCATCTTTTTCTTAGTGAATATTGTGCAATAAATCAATAGTGAGCAGGTTAAATAATCCCAGGGGTGAAGACTGAACATGGGTGCCATATCCTCATAGTAACCACTTGACCAAATTGATTCATCCGGGGTTAGAGGCTTCTTGGATTTTAGGTGGTGGGGAGGGATAGCTATGATTCCAGAGTGAAGGTGCATCCATGAGCCAAAAGTCTTTTGTGTCTGGTTCCTGGTTTTTCAGTTTCATGTCAGTGAGTTGAGATTTCCAGTAACCTATGTAATTATTGCTGTAAATCCTTTTTAAAAAAATTACGAATGAAAAAGATTACTGTTGGAAGTGGAATACATCACAGAGGATAATTCCTCTTGACTTAAGACACAGTCTTTCAAGAATTCTCTAGTTACTCAAAAGAGATCACTCCTATGCAAGCAACTCAAGATGTTTAGACCAGAGGTGAGTCTGGGTTAGGATAATTTGTGGTTTGGATCAGATACTATGGTGTCAGTGCGGATTTCGGTCAGTTTCAGTTAGGAATTGTAGAATTTGAGTCGGATCGGATTGTTCTCAGTTGTAAAACTGTTCCTGTGGATCAGATGCAGTCAGATTTACTCAATTGAAAAAATACAGGAAAATCTGGAACAATCCAATAAATCTGCATGGAAATTTTGGGATGAGCTGAAAGAGGTAAGAAACATTGCTTGCTTGCCAATTATGAACTGAGAAAAGAATTCAGCTGGCTCTGGGATCCAGAAATGTCATTCCATGTCCAGAGAATAGATTTTTATGTGAATGGAGAGAGAAGGTAGCAGTCCTGCCACTGGAAGACAGACTTCCTGCTTGATTCTCTTGACCCTCCTGTCTTTAAAAAAAAAATTTTTCCTGATCCACTGCAGTATTGTATTGGATTTCTATGTGCCTAGTGGTCTTTGAACTCCCACGGTGTGCACCATTTCAATGCAAAATAACAATTACATGCAGCGATTTGGCTTGTGAACTGCTGCCGCACGAATCTGAACATTCAATAACGTTCTATTGCTCTGTGAACGTACAAGTTTCATCAGAAATTTAGGAATTTCCAGATGACCATGGATCAGATCAGACTTGGTTGGACTCTTGTGAGAAAAATTGAATCAGCTTTGGTTCGGATTTGGATTTGTTTGCTTCTAACTGGATCGGTTCGGTTCTGTTAGGGTGGAATGCAGGTTAGATTCAGATTGGATTGGACTCGGAAAAGGCAGTCTGAACTCACCTCTGGATTAGACATACATTCATTATATTCATGGCCCTTTATTTATTTAAAATAGAAAAGTGTGAAAAAAGCTCTGCTCCTGGAAACACCCAGTTCTGATATGCCTTTCCTTCCTTTGAGTATTTATAAACAACTCAAAATTAACCCATAATATGTAGATCTATAAATATAAAATGTTTGCTGAATGTTGTGCATTACTTGCAGTTTGACATTCGGCAGAAAGCATTGAAGCTGACGGCCAACAGTATGTATGGGTGCTTGGGGTTTGTACACTCTCGCTTTTATGCACCTCGTCTTGCTGCATTCATCACAGGTAACCCTATTGCTTGTATTTTGCCAATGTGGTATACATAGTATAGGAGCTGAATGTCAAATTGGACATAACGTACAGGGAAAGGCCGTGAGATTCTCCTGAAGACGAGGGACCTGGTGGAGAAGATGAACCTAGATGTCATTTATGGAGATACTGACTCCCTTATGATCAACACCAATTCAGAAGACTATCAGGAGGTCTTGCAACTTGGAGCCAAGGTGTGAACACCTCCTTTGTATTTTATTGTGTCACTTATCATAATGTTGATTTTAATTCGTTTTCACCATACCAGATCAAGACAGAAGTAAATCGGAATTTCCGAATGCTGGAATTGGATGTTGATGGGGTTTTCCGATATATGCTGTTGCTGAAAAAGAAGAAATATGCAGCATTGATGGTTGAAGATACTCCCTCTGGTATTTGCTATCATCAGGAACTAAAAGGGCTTGACATCGTTCGACGAGACTGGTCTGGCATTGCAATCTCCACTGGACGGTTTGACATCCTTTCATCATCATTATCAATTTGGTTGGGTTGTACCAATAAATTGGCAACCACTGAAATTTACCATTGATAATGAATCATTGCACTATCAGTCATTAGCAGGTTCTCACATTGCTGCTGTCAATGGCAAAAAAACCCTCACAAAAAGAGAGGAACTCTTGCATATATCATTGTGGCTTGGCACCTGACTTCCCTTGTCTCTTCTCCAAGAAATGGAATAGATACTTCCTGCTTCTTCAATGAAAAATATACCAAATGCTTGCATTGGGCATCCAGGCTGACTTCCCCTCTCTTTCCCAAGAACATCTTGGCCTAGGTTTTAGAATCAGCACTTCCTGGCTGAGACAATAAACTTTTTGCATGTCTTTGGCATTAAGTCTGTATTTGCATTTGATCCATCTGTTCTTTCCCACATTGATTGCTTCAAGTGATCCTAATGGGCATCCTGACTCACTTAAACTTGTTTACCAATAATACTCATGCTATAGCCCCTGTTTTTGTCCTCCCCCTTGAGCAAAAAATGGTACAGTCGAACTCATAACAGCATTGAAGGGACCAAGGAAAAATTGTCATTATAATTGAGGTTGCCTTTATTGACATTCCATTTCTCTGTTTTCAAAATACAGTAGATGCTATATACATTTTTAGTGCACATTGGTCATCCTGTACTGACTTCACTTTGAGCATTGGCTCGCACTAACTTTAACAAGAATTTGTTGACATCATCTAGAGCAGAGAAGTTTCTTGTTTTGTGGCATGTTCTTCTCCAAAGCACAGATGAAGCTGTCACGATTTTTCCAAATTGTGGAAATAGATGAAATAGGAAGTTTATGTTCATGAGAGACATCAGCTTTGCTTCGCCTACTTTCTATTAAATGAATTATGCATTTTTTCTTATTTGCAAAAGCTTGCCACTTTTGTTTTTCACTGGCCATGTTGTCAACGAGAAATGCAAATGGCGACTGAAGAGAATATGATCTTTTTAGTTACTAGAGAGTGTCTCTTTCTTACCCTCCTCCAGTCACACCTACATGGCCCTCAAGGAATGCTGATTTCAGGAAAGATGAAGTTATGGCTTGCCATAACTTTATCTTTCACTCACTCTTTTGATGATGGTAATTCCAGTTAAGAATGATGAATTGGAGATGTCAATGTTGTCTATTTCATCAGTGGGACCTTGAATGGACTTCATTATGACCAAGGTTCATGCTATAACTGAGGTCATTATAAGTGAGTTCTACTGTGCAAAAATTCATTGTCATAAATCCTATAAGCTGATGTGAAAAGTTGATAACATAATGAAGAACATTAGGTAATATATATATGCTTTTTCCCCCTCTATCATAATTGTTGTCAGCTCCAGTACTGGCCAATGTGTGTGAGGTCATAACTTCCAATCAGCTATTTGCCAAATGCTGCCATTGGTACAACCCCACTACTTGGTGATTTTGAAGGAATGTGTAAATGAAGAAGGAGATTGATTGCAGTTATGTGGTGGATACAATTCTGTCAGAGGGGACTTATGAGGAGAAGTTAGCAAAAATCCATGCGCATCTGGAGGTGGTTGGGAAGCAACTTCAAGACCACATGGTCCCATTAGACCAACTTGCCATCACAAAACAGCTCACCAAGAACCCTGAGGACTATCCAAACAAGAGCAGCCTTGCTCACGTTTCTGTTGCCCTTCGGCATAATAAAAATCCTGACTCCAAGAAGCTCAAAGCTGATGACACTGTCTCATTCATCATCTGTCAGGTTTGCATTTTTAAACGTTTCTTCTGTTTGAGGAGGTGTGAACTTATATTTTTTATATTTTATTGTTATTTTCCTCCTTCCATATTATGTATTTTTCACCGTTATCACTGTTGCATTAAAATTGGACATGTATCGCTTGAGGATCCCACATGTGATCATAACCATGCTTTAATTTTATATCAATTTGTTCCATCACATTAGGGTGTTGTATCTTCTATCCTTAAGTTCTGTCAATTCTTGTTTATCTGAATGCCAGTAATCAAATGCTCCTGTTAATTAAGGCAAGAGGAATGGTTCTGGTAGAAATCCTTTAGTACCTTTAATAAAATTCTGTTTAATTAAAAGCTATTATTCCATAACTCCAATTTATCTAGACAAGTTCTCTAGTCCCCTGAGCCATACACACTATTAATCTGCATTATCTGATGTAAGAGATAGCATAGGTTGCAGGAAAAAAGTGTCCTGGTGCCATTATCACAGACAGCACTTCCCGTGACTTCAAGAGTAGGGAGATGGTAGAAAGATTTCTTATTGCCCATTTCCCTTCCTTTTTCCAGTGATTTTTGTTATCCCTAGTCAGTCAGTTTACTTCACCCGTTATTAGAGCCTTGTTCTGTCATGAGTAAGCTTTCTTGGTGTGATGTTTTTTTTTTTAGGATGAAAACAAAATATTTTGGATTTCATCCATGTAACTGGTCAGGACTGAGTCATTGCATCCCATTTCAAGGGATGGGGGGAGTGAATAACAGTAGGCATTTTGCTGTACACTGGGGATGTAGTTTCTTTGCCAAGTAAAAGGAAAAAGTCACTTGATCAGGTTTTCAATAATCCAAGCATGCTGATAACTAGGCTAAGTCACAAATTAGATGAACCAGCCATAGTGAGTGATTTCAGTTCTCCACTTTCTCTCAAGCTCATCAGCAATGTAATGCAATCAGTGCATATGACTTTCCCTGTGATCATATCATATGAAAACTAAACAGCATGCTCTGATATTGCAGACCTGTGGATTCTGAATACAGTCAATTTCAAGTGTCCTGTAACCTTAATCACTATTATTTAACCATGTGTGATTGGAAGTACTGTCCAGAGTGAGTGTTGATGTCCTCATCCACCTAAACTGCACCAGGGAAAAGGCACACTGGTACACTAATTGAAGGGCTGAAAGGCAAAGTGATCTATCTGCAAAAAATTATTTCCTGAAGCTCCACACGGAATGAGTGAATATTCCAGTGACCATCATGTTAAAAGTGAGAAAAATTGGTATGTATCAATAGATCACTTCATCCTCTACTTAATTCCAAAAAACTATAATTTTCTATGAAAGGAACAAGGTCCTATGAGCACAACCCACTACACTTTTTTTGGAAATTTTTTGCAGATAGACCTCTTTGCCTTTCAGCCCTTCAATTGCACAAGAAAGATTGGCATACCTGAACAACTCCACCATTTTAGTTTTTTTTTCTGGCTAGATACAAGGGGGTTAGGAGAACTACTGGTGAAGTGGGGAACTACTATTTAATCATCTGTCATGAAGTGATACAGCTGTCTGCTGTAGTATACAGTTAATCCCACCATTATTTTGTAGTAGTGTCTGCCTGCATAGATTCCATCATTATTGTTCAAATCAAATAACTTTTCATTGATGAGGTCAATTTTAAATGCCCCTAGAACTACAAGCTTTTACTTAGAAGTTTGAGCTGCTGAATTTCCCTTACTTCCCTAATGCTCCTAAATTTTTGGCCTCATGGAGGTAAATGTGATTGCTGCAGATGTGAAACTCCTCACAGGATGGAAGCACCAATTCTGGAGTGCAGCGAGCATACAGTGTTCAAGAGGTGCAGGAACGAGAGGATCTTCAAGTTGATGTGGATTACTATCTTAGCCAGCAGATTCATCCTGTTGTGTCTCGGCTCTGTCAGCCCATTAATGAGATTGATCCCCATAGGATTGCAGTTGCTCTTGGTTGTCTTGCTGGAATTTTTCTCAAGTTTCAGTATTTGTTTGAAATTGCACTGATCTAAACATCATCTCAGGTCTGGATCCAAGTCGCTACCTTGCACAGATGCAGCCACATCATGACCATGATTCCCATGCTGAAGACTTCCTCACCGTTGAACAAAAGTATCAGCTCTGTGATCCGTAAGTAGAGTGACAATCACATATTCACTTTACAAAAACTTGGACTAGTTCAAAGATGCCAGATTCTATTACCTTTCCTAGCAATAGATCCACTCTTTAACCCAACAAGCTGTCATTTACCATCCCATATCAACATATGTGCTTCCCTCTCCTCATCCATGAGCAGTACCCCTTCCATTCACTACTTCTCATGTTTCAGTTCACAAGGAACAAAATCCACTTGTGATCAGTTTCAAACATATTAAAGGAAAATTCTTGCATTCATTTGGACTTTTAAAATTTTTTTACATTTACAGATTCACACTAGTGTGTGAAAATGGACACAAGATGGAAATGAGGAAGCCTCAAGATGTATTGGAAAAACTGGGTAGGTGTCCTGAGTGTAACCGAAGCCCTGCCCTTGATCACCTGCTGAGTACTTGTCTCAATCTTCTCACCTTTGAGATGAGAAGAATCATATCTCTGCACTATCAGGTTTCACATCTTTCATATTAAGGTATTGCTGATTTAAGACTGGCAGAAAATTCTTCCTGTTTTCTGTTTCAGGGCTGGATGACTTGTGAGGATAGCATGTGTGGCACACGAACAAGGCAGGTGAGCCTTATGAGTGCCTCTCACTCTGCAACATGTCCACAATGTCACAAAAGCAAGCTCACACCAGATGTAAGCAACCTTCTTGCTCATTCACATAGTGTGTTCTCACAAAGGTTATTATGCCCTGTGAGAAGTGCCTGAAAAATGGTTAAAACTAAAATTACTGGAGTGGTCAATTAGACTGCTGTGTTAAAAGTAGTATGAAGTTATTATTCTGCAACATTTTATTTATTTTTTCCAAATGTTATTTTGTATGTTCAAAATGTCAATATTAGATAGGAAAAGTAAAAACTGCAGGGGCTCTTAGTTGCCAAAAAAGCAAAAGTGCATTTAAAAATGGCAAACAGTCATAATGACTGCCCCTGGTAGTTCTAGTGCTAAAGCACATTGCTTTGAGAGAACTGCTTGGCGAATGAAACAAGCATTCAGAGGCTGAAAACATTCAGCCTCTGGATTATTTAATAATCCAGTATTCACTGTGCTGTATCTCATTTCAGAAATGGTATATTTTCATGTAGTTTTCAGCAGAAGAAAGCTTAATCTCTCTTTCTGACACAAAAATTGTTTATTCAAGTTCAATGTAATGCCAGAAAAACCCATTATTACAGCATTAACTTTTTTTGAGACACCCTATACTTAATTTTCTGAGGAAAGGGTCAGGGGACAACAGATCTGTTTTTGTGGGAATTAAAGGAGCTGCCATTGAAATATGATGATATCTTTGTATTTCTCCCCTTTCATTTATACAAGCCACTTTGGGGATTGGAGGTAGTGCCACATGGTGATGCATGCCATCTCCTTCCTAGCCTCTGTAAGCCTAATAACAGGAGAGTGTCACACCAGTACAAAACCTTCCTCCTTTATCAAGCCTGTCTCATTTAGGCTTAGTAATTCAGGGGAATGGCTTCAAATGATGAAAGCTTCCTTGTTTAGATTTTCTTCACCAATTGTGTAGCTTTCTAAGGTTGTACCAATGTATTGGCAACCACCTGTGTATCAGCCACTGGTGTTATGCCATTGGCAAGCTAGTTGAAAATTGCCAATGCCCAAAGGAGGGGTAAAAGGAAAAATATGTGAGCATGGGAACCTGGCTATGTGCTGAGTCTCACTGAAACTCCTCACTGTCTCTCCTGCCTGCTTCTCCAAGACAAAAATATCCATTGGATAATATTTCAGCACAGTTTTAAGAACCGGCAGAGGAAAATAGCTGCAAAGAAGGGAAGTCTTTGTACCACCATTTATGTTGTGCACTTGTGAGAGATGTGTCGTTAACCCTTCTAGCAGTTTTCATGTACACCAGTACACCATACAATCATCATTTAGGTCAAGTCAAAACAGCAACAATAAGTAACAAGCTAACCACTGATGGGCATGTGGACAGACGAACAGATTGGACAAGACTAAAAGTGGTCTCTATCACTTTAACTCTTTTGCTGCAATGGTCAACTTTTTTCACAGCAGCTAGTCCTCCCTAACCATATCGATTCTACTACACAGTGAAAGAGTTAAGGTGGCCCTAAGATGATTATCACATGACTTCTGAATAGGCCTTTTTGAATTAGTATATGACTTCATGTTACTTCTCAATCTACAGATCACAATTGCCTCTGGCACTGGCAACAGTGTAGTATGTGAATCTGGCTCCTGTCAAAACTGACTACAGTAGTTTTTTGTGTACACAGTTGTGACTACCGTGATCAACTTTACATTGCTAACTTTACTACCATAGTGGTCTTTGCACGTGCCCATGCCATAATGACTCCTCTATGAACAAATGTATTTTCACAAATTTTTTATTTTGTGGCATCAACAAGGTCATGGCAGTTTTCCAAGTGATATCTCAATGGAGGCTGATACCTTTATATACCTTTATATTTTGTATCTTTCCACTTTCGATCTGGGGCCTATTTCTCGAAGCTTACAAGTTTACAAGTCTACAAGTTTACAAGAAATAGCTTGTATTTACAAGTACTTGTAAATTCTGTTTCTTGAAAATCTTTTAGGAAACGCTTGTATTTTATTACTGCAGGGTCAAAGTTCACAAGTTCACAAGTCCACAAGAGAACATGGCACTCACGGAGAGCACATTGGCTGTGCTCACCCTCCTTCGGGAAAAGAAAACTATTCTGTTCAGAGTGCCATCAACGCAACCACAAACGTAGGGCATTCCGGGTCGCACTTGAGTCAACCCATAGAACTTTGTTGCAATCTCAGCAACATCCGTTGT